ATACAGACAGAAGTATATGCAGAACTGAAGTCACATACACGTATATATTCATGTTTCTCAAAATTTTACACAATCCATGGTGTTTGATTTATTTAGCCTTTATTAAACAGTTCTAATAGATGTAATAAGAACATAAAGTCCGCCGAGAACCTGTTTTATACGCAATAACTCTCCTCATGCCCCTGCGCTAAAAATAGCGCCATGTAATACTATAAATACTAATAAAACAAACGGGGCGGGGAACTTTGAGAGGGGCGAGAGACGTCCTAGGGAGTTTTGGTATAAAATTACATTGCATAAGCTCAAAATCTTCTTGAAATATCGCCTGGAAATGATAGTATTACATACAGACAGAATGTATAAATTTACGACCTTGAACTTTGACCTTTTGACCTCAAAATCAATAGGGGTCTTCATTAGGCCACAGGGAGTTGTTATATAAAATTTCATTGCAATAGCTCAAATGGTTCTCGAGATATCGTGTGGAAACGAAAGTGTTTTAACAGACAGAATTTGCTTATTTATGACCTTGACCTTTGACCTTTTGACCTCAAAATCAATAGGGGTCTTCTTTAGTCCATAGGGAGTTGCTATGCTAAATTTCATTGCAAAAGCTCAAAGGGTTCTCGAGATATCGTGTGGAAACGAAAGCGTTACAGACAGACAGAAAGACGGACAGACGGACGGACAAACCCAAATTAATATCCCCCACTTTTCAAGCGGGGGACAAAAAATCCAACCTGAGCAAGTTGAATATCTATGACAAGCATTAGATCCATGTCTAGCATAGCATAGCTGCCATATTTAGCCGAATGTTCAGGAGTGTCAGCTCTACCATCTCCACCTATAATTAAGGGATCTCCTTGTTGGGTCTTCTGATTAAAATAATTATTCTATAAATCCTTCCTTATTGTTGAAACAGCTGGATGCAGATAGTATTTCTGGTGTTGGTGGAAGGTACTTAATGCTATGGCAGCTACATTCATATGCTCCAAGAAACGATGAGCTTTGCTTGGTATAAGGCCTACCATAAGAGATATGAAAATACATTCATCGTTAAAACATTTGTATTTAGCATTATAATTATAAAAATGGCTGCTGACATGGAGAAATTTCCCGATGGTAAAGATCCAATCAATGTTCCAGGTTCTCTGAAATCCACATATACCACAACACTGGTCAATCTTGGTCATCATGCCTGAAACGGGTCTCACTTGGCAAAGAGTGGCAGAAGTACAAGTTGGACAGATTGAAAACAACTTCATCAACTGCGACTCAGACACAATGTATTTTCTGTCAGTTTTTTTGTTTTGATTATCATTACTACAAAGAAGTTTGTTTTTGTATTAAGTCATATTTATTTGTTTTTTCCTAAACTGTACTTTATTTGGGAAAACAGGTCGGACCCATCATCTGAAGACATTTCAGAGGAAAGAAATTCTTCAGCTGACTCAGGAAAGTAGTCTGTGTCATTGTCTTTGGTTTCATCCTCACTGGATGGAACAGAAAGATCATCTTTATCTTGCTCTTCCGTGCTCATACTTATCACTCAGCGTGGTTTAAAATTATCTAAAAATAACAAAGTGATGAATTAGTATTTAGTTACTTAATGATTTTTCATATGTAATTTAATAATGAAAACTTAATTACATTTCAAAAATCTTTATTCACCTCTCAATTCCTCAAGATAATCTATTACACTGAAGTGCAATGCTGCAAACCTTCGGTTTATAGCTTGGAAAGTCACACTGCACAGCTGTTCAAGGTATAAGAGAAATACTTGTAATTGCAGTCTTACTGGTATCTATGCACAACAAATCATGAATGTACTCACCCTTCTCACAATGTTTAATTTTTGTTTGTATTTTCTTGGACCTTTGATGGGGTTTTCGCCTAGTACACTGCACTCCTACGGAGCTTGTTGCCTGTCAAGACATTATTTTTTATTACGTCACCTGAGTAAACTTTAATTTTTCGTGATAAAAAAAATTGATAAAAACCTTGTTTGATTTATTCTTCAGTCCTCGGCCTTTTTTACTTGTGTCTCTTTCTGTTTTTTCAAGTTTGTCCAGTAACTATAATAAAAACAGCAATTTATAATAATAATGTATGCCAAGTCCTATGTCTTTTGTTTGCATACATCACTAAATTAACAATTCTTAGATAAACATCATTTTTTATCCAAAATGAAATTAAAATGTTATCCTATGAATTACCCGTAAACATTCCCTTTTCCTAAATGCCCCTCTCAGTGGTGTTGATTCAGCCACCGGTTCACCTGTGTTGGACACGTGTGTGACATCCATGGGGCATCTGAGGTCGTCGATGTACTACTACTATGTAAATGAACGGTAGGCACGGCATCAGGTAGCAGACGTTTATTCTTAATCTCAATATCTAGGGACTGTTTGATTCTGTATTCCTCTGGGTAACAATTTGATGCAAAATCACGTTCACACAGAACTGAAAACCTCGTGGGCTGCGTGAAGTCTTGACGCTTTGTTTTAACAAACTTAATCCATTTCCGTCTAAGTTCACGTTTCGGAAATTCGTGGAGTGAAATATTATCAGCATTGGTTGCTGAACAGCCCGCTGTCACACAATACTTGCGTGTTGTAATTCTATATGATGAGCTTGGAATTATAATGGTCTTATATAGAAGTGCTTATTATCAATAGAGATTGTTGAAAGTCAGTGTCTCTTTTGGTAACATAACATGGTGTCAGAAGTGGGATTTCGGTTCTCCAATATCCTTACTTAACTCTGAACATTGCACTGACACCAAAATCGCTGACAGCCAGTGTAACCTTGTTATCCATGTAATTTCCAACAACTTCCACACACGAATAGTGTTCTTTTCTTAGATCCACGATGTGTCCAAGCAAGTTATCTATTTCAGATTCTTTGGTTACGCCATCGAGAATTCCATTTATCCTTCACTGCTTCATATCTTTTTAGGGCACTCTCATTTTGGCTTCTTTCGAATGTGTCTTCCAAGCACTCTTCACTGACTTTTTTCCCTTCTTCATTTTGGCTTATTTCGTATGTATTGTCTTCCAAGCATTTTTTACTGATTTTTCCCCCTTTCCTCATTATGGCTTCTTTTGAATGTGTTTTCCAGGCACTGTAGCAACAGCTTATGATGTTACGCCGCTTAACGATAGAAATATCATTAAGCGTTGTAATGTTACGCTTATACATCATTGTATTAAAAGTTGACATACTCATCCGCTTAATGATATCTAATTTTTTTTTAAGAATTAGTGGTTGAAATGGTCAACTGTTAATGCAATAATTATGACAGTAACCATTGCAGCTGCAACGCTTTATGATATTTGTATCATTAAGCGGCGTTATTTAATTATCGGTTGCTACAAAGAACTCTTTACTGACTTTGTTCCCATCTTCAAGCTTACATTTCACACATCGACAGAAGTGGGATTTCGGTTTTCCAATATCCTTACTAAACTCTGTTGCACTGACACCAAAATCGCTGACAGCCAGTGTAACCTTGTTATCCATGTAATTTCCAACAACTTCCACACACGAATAGTCTTCTTTTCTTAGAACCAATGTGTCCAAGCAAGTTATCTATTGATAGATATATTACGATGATCAATATGAACAGATTACCCCATCACTATATATATTATAATTCATATCGAATTCATTATTCAGTCATATATGTACTTAATCAAAAATTAAATAATTAAAAATATTTTGTTATATAATTGCACAATGCATACACATACCTTTTCATTTTAAGGTCTTCCGCTTCTGAGCACCAAGAAGGCTGCCAGAAGTTTTGTTGACGTTCCACACTTTGAATATCTTCATATAATATTTACCAAACATTATAAGTACATCTATAAATGTGCAGTTTACATGAAATATATGTATACTAGTGTAAGGCAAAATTCCAATCTATTCAATTATATTCAAAGGAAGAAGGCATCTTTTTTTTAAGCTAATCGTCAGTTTGGAATCAATTTACGACGATTAATTTCAAATTATCTATTTAATACAAAACAAAATGCATGGTTCAAGGCGAATTTTCATATATTCGCAAGTTAAAGTAGGTCGCAAAACTTGTGCATAATTGTTGCACGTAAAGTGATTCCCAGAAAAATAGAAGTAATGAGACAAATCACTTTAGGTAAATTAATATGTGTATTGACAAAAACAACCTTTGATTTAACTTACAAATATTCAAGAGTGTCAAATGGTGGCCTGGACCTCGTGGAACTTTTCCGGAAGAGAGGGAATAATTACTTGAGCCCTATCTCAAATATAAAAATAAACAACCCCCCCCCCCCCAAATACACTACATCCCCCCCCCCCCATTTTGTGGAGGAATGTCCCAATTCCGATAAGGTGCAGGCCATTTACAAGATATCATTAAAGAACAATTATAAACAATATATAATGAGCATTACGCCATAAGATGTACAATACAAGGTAATAACAGGATATTATACAGGATTATCTACAAGTCTTTTAAACGTTAAACTGTCCAAATCACAATCAAAATAGATCCACCTTTGAAGCTTCCCAACGGTCAGATCAACAGCAGCGCAGGCTCTTCCGGACTTCCTGCTCCCGGCGCTCTGCTCTTCCGGACTTCCTGGTTCCGGCGCCCTGTCATCGCACGGGTCCTCCCTGGACTCCAAAAAGCATAATTTACTCTTATAACAAAAGACCCCGCTCACTCAAGGAAGCGGAGAATGACGTAGCTGTTGACCGAACAAGATGCTGAAATTCCTCATAACCTTTTCGGCCAACACACCAAATTCCACCTGGCGGACCTCCGCCACCCTTCGGTAGACCACCCCGATTTGACCAGGGGTCATTTCACCCTAGCCAACTCCGAGGTGGGAACTGTCTGTCTCAATGAGCAGACGGTCAGTGGGAATCCGCCTTACTCCCTGGATTTGCCCCCAGGTGAAGTACTGGATCAATCCACTGACCCCATAAAACACAACCCGCCCTGTGTCCAACCATTCATCCACCTTTGAAGCTCCCCCAGTGAATGGCTGGAGGTACAATGGAACCCACAAGGGAGTGCGTGCCTGATCCAGCAGTTGCTGGCAATCTAGAAGCGGCTCCTGGCCCATTGGGTCAGAAGACGCCCCCCTAAGATGGAGTACCAAGGGGGTGAGGGGAGTTGCCAGCCGGCAAAATTCACCCAACACCCACCTCTGGTGACCCCAGTTAGACCCCTTAACGTAATCGAGGCCCACTTCCCCGATTACCCAACCGTTCTCCACACACCGGGCCACCAGCGACTCAATATTACCAGCTGTTACCCCTGCAACCTGGGTAGGATGAAAACCAACGGCCGTCACCCACCCGGGCTCTGGGGTAGTGTCCGTGGGTGGAGTCGAGCCATCCACATAGACGGCACACCCACCGACAACCTGTACAGGGACATCACAGGCGACTGGCAGGTGCGCAATCCCCTCTGTGAGAGCCGTCAAGGCCATCCTCACTGACATCCGTGTTGGATGCCAGTGAGCGTCAATGACCTTCACGGTCACTGGTTCTGGTACCCAGTCCCGGGAGCTGGGCGGACCTCACACTCGGACTCCCAGTCTTCCCTTGGGATAAGGGCGGGCTTAACTGGTAAGTCTTTACTCGCCTGCAGCCTCATCTAAATTAAAGATGTCGAAGGATGCGCGCACATCCAGACAGCCCATCTGCAAACAAACTGCTTGCTCCTGGAGCACTTGTCCTGGGAGCAGCACGTTGCGCGTTTTCCATGACCCGGTCACCCCACTGCTCTAGACTCTCCTCAGTCCCTTGATTCATGGAGTTAAACTCCACTTGCGACGCGGCCTGCGATGCATTCTTTCCGAACCGTTGCTCGAATCGAGATGCTATCTCCTGAAAAGTCATATGCTGCCCCGTGAGGAGAGCAGGTAGGGTGCTGGTCCCTCTACGGAGACACTCAGAGCCAATAGACTATTATCATCATCCCACCTATAATATCGAGCTAACATTCTAAATTTGGCATAGAACAGAAGTAGTATAAGGGGTCTGGTTGGGGGTTCAACTGAGTGCACTTTTGGGGCTGGGGGGGATAGGGGGTTCAACTGAGTGCAGCCCCTGTGGGGGATGGGGGGTTCAAGGGAGTGCAGATTAGGGGTCTGGGGGATAGGGAGGTCAACTCAGTACAGCCCTAACCCTAACCCTAGGGGGCTAAGGTGGGTTTCAATTCATTACATAGCCCGTAAATACAGGGTATTTCACACTGTGTTTACATTATACTATACGCTGCTACTACGATTTTGGCATCGACTCAAGAATGTGATAATGACGTCACTCATTCACAGTCATTTTCCGAAAACGGAAAAAAAAACAATAACACACAATATAAACAAGAACACAGATTTTTATTCAGAATTAAAATATATACAGAATTTTCCTCTTGTGGCTGGATTCTTCTTTATTTTTTCTCCTGGTCTGCTTCCCTTCCTAGATCACGAATCTCTTCCAGCACTTCTTTTAATCTCTGTATGATACTGATCATTTCTTCTAGGTCTGCTTCCCTTCCTAGATCTCTAATCTGTTTCTCTAACTGGTCCATCTCCCTATTTACATGGCGAATCATTTCCACCACTTCTTTCTCTAACTGGTCTATCTCCATTCCTAGATCACAAATCTTTCTCAGTGCTTCTCTCTTTTTATTTAGGAGAAGGCACATCAAACTTCTTTCATCTACATCTAAAAGATCCTGTGTTTCTGGTACGGTCTCCTTTGTATTTTCTTCTGCCATATTTTACCTGTGTCTATTTCCAAGTACTAACGAAGTGTGAACGTCAATGTCCAGCTCCGCTTTATATACCTATCTGTTGCATCATCTTTTTTATACCTGTTGCATCATCTTTTTTATACCTGTTGCATCATCTGTAAGGGCCGTGTGCAAAAAAAAAATAGGGTCGTGTGCAAAAAATAGGTTGGACTTACCTATGCATTGTGACGTCATCCACTGTATAAATACGGCTTTTCTCTGACTTTCGGCTCATTCTACAGTCAGAGCCAGCTCCCTCCGGGGGTATGGATTCTACTAGAGAAAAACAGTTACATGCTCAACGATTATTAAAATAGAAAAAAAGAGAAAGAGAATTAGATCGATTTCTTTATGAGAAAAGAGAGCAAGAGTTAAAGCTCCGGGAAAAAAATGCCAAACTATTACAGAGAAGAGCTCTACAAGAACGACAACGACAACTACGGGAGAGAGAATTAGACAGAATTATAACTCCACAGAGAGCCAGGGAATTAGAGCTCCGGGAAAAAAATGCTAAAATATTACAGAGAAGAGCTCAATTAGAACAACGACAATTACGAGAGAGAGAATTAGATCAAATTCTTGATGAAAATAAAGAGCGAGAATTAAAGCGTCGGAAAAGAAATGCCAGACTATTACAGAGAAGAGAACAACTAGAAAAACAAAGACAGCAACAGCAAAGGACTAGGGCACATGAGGGATCAAAATCACCTATTCATTCACCACCCAAACCCAAGGCCATATCCCAGTATTATCGAGTCACACTGAATGAAAGGAGCACTCTAGAAAATTTAAAGCTCAAGAGGATTTTTACACTGTGATTTTTAAGGAGTTTCCAGAGGAAGAAAACAGAGGATTTGTTCGGCGATTATTCACAAACATGTTACAAACTTTCAAATCGAAAATGCAGTGTAATCCTAACGATTACCTCCGCCTGAACATACGCCACAAATCTCTGGAATCAGAGATTTGGTACGAGTTTACTCAATGTAAATATTTTAACGAGGACGTCATTTTAGACAAGATTGAAGCCGTGCAACAATCCAGAAAGGAGTTCAAACTGGGCGACGGGGGCATGGAATTTGATTTGTTTCGGGTCAAGTATTCCGAGGGAAGTGGTGGCCAGAATACCAAACATCTACAAGTGAATAAGGAGAATTTCAAGAACAATAAAAGAGCCATCGTTCGGATCGTCAATCCCTGGGATAAATTTTGTTTGGCTAGAGCCATCGTCGTCACCCGATTACACAGTCAAAAACCCGAACATCCAGACCCCGAATGGGAAAAACAATGGCGACGTATGCGGAAGGGAGATAAGGAATCCTTAGACCAGAAGAACCAAGCCATAGCCCTCATGGAACAGGCCGAGTGTGATATCAATCAAGCTTGTGGATCTGCAGAGTGGACGAAGCTACAACAGGTATTAGCTCCTCAGTATCGACTGAAAATATTTCAGTTCAAGTCTACTTCGACTAAACCCACCTTAGAGTGCATCTTCAAAGGTTGGGGAGATGGAACTTGTTTGAACATATTGTTAGACGACCATCATTACGATGCCATCATATCCATGCCGGGAGTAACGGGGAACCAATATTACTGTGATCATTGCGACGTGGGGTACAGTCATGTCAAAGAACATCGGTCCAAGTGCCCTCATCGCTGTAAAAATTGTTCAGGCCACCCTAAATGTCCCGATGAAGGGATCAAGATTCGATGCCGGGAATGCCAGGGAATGTTTAAGAACAGGACCTGCTACGAAAATCATTTAAGACCCCATAGTAAGAAAACCACCACTACTGTCTGCAATTTAATGGGGCTATGCGAGAAGTGTCAGTCCTGGATACCTAAGAAATTATTCCCTCATCACAAGTGCGGAGAACAGAAACAATGTAAGATCTGTAAGAAAATCGTCGATGCCGATCATCAGTGCTACGTACAACAGAAGCCCCAGAAGAAGAAGAAGGGGAAAGGGACCTTACAGTTTTACATCTATTTCGATTTCGAATGCACTCAGGAAACCGGCATTCACATCCCTAATCTGTGTGTGGCACACCGCGTCTGTCAACATTGCAGTCACTTACCCATAGACCAACCCTGTCCTCATTGTCAACACATGGGACCCCGTCAGCACCTATTTCAAGGACCAGACACCTTAAAGAAGTTCATGGACTGGTTATTACAACCCACTACAGGTACTAAGAATTCCACTTTAGTACACGACGAGGCCATCATCATCGCCCATAACTTCAAAGGCTACGACGGACAATTCATTTTGAATCACCTGGTGCATTCCTCTTGCCTGAAACCTAACGTCATCATGAACGGCAGTAAGATCTTGTACATGGAAATATGCGGACTGAAATTCATCGACTCGTATAATTTCTTACCGTTTGCTTTGGCCAAGATGCCCTCGGCTTTCGGATTCGACGAATTGAAGAAAGGATATTTCCCCCACTTTTTTAATACGGAACAAAACCAGAATTACGTGGGACCTTATCCACCGGCAGCTTTCTACAATCCGGACGAAATGTCTATCAGTGGACGACAGGCTTTTTTTGAATGGTACGAACAACAGAGGGGAAAAGTATTTGATTTCCAGAAAGAGTTTGTAGGGTATTGTATCTCAGACGTCGACATTTTACGACGATGCTGTGCACAATTTAGAAGCACCCTCAAGAGTTTGGTCAACGTGGATCCTTTCCAGGAATCCATCACTTTTCCCAGTGCTGCTAGTTTAGCCTACCGTCGAAATTTCATGCCTAAAGACACCATTGCCATCATTCCGAACCTCGGGTATGAACCGGCACGACAATATTCGATCAAAGCCTGTCGGTGGCTCACCTGGATGAGTCAACAGAGTGGATGTCACATACAACATGCCAGAAACGGAGGCGAAGTCCAGATCGGAAATTATACCGTCGACGGATACCAGGAAGCGACTCGCACCGTCTACGAATTTTACGGGTGCTATTGGCACGGATGCCCCACTTGCTATCCCAGTCTACAGACCGAAACTCATCCTCACCGGACCCAATTTACTTAGCAGGAATTACACGAGGAAACCCTCAGAAGGACTGCGGATTTGGAGGACATGGGGTGCACCGTCTGTAGTATCTGGGAGCACGATTTCGATCAGCAAGTGCAAAAAGATGAGAGTTTACAACATTTTGTACGAGATCTGGACATTCCCGATCCTTTGAACCCTCGAGAAGCCCTGTACGGAGGGCGGACCAATGCCACTAAATTATATTGTGAGGAAGGGGACATGAGATACGTGGACGTCTGTTCCCTATACCCTTACGTGTTGAAACACAGACCATTTCCCCTAGGGCATCCCGAGATCATCACAGACGAGTTCCAGGACGTGAGAAGTTATTTCGGTCTCATTCACTGTCGGGTCTTACCTCCCCGAGGCCTCTATCACCCCGTATTACCTTATCGGACGGGAGGCAAGTTATTATTTCCCTTATGTCGCACGTGTGCCGAAATACAGGACTCTACTTCTCAAGGTCGATGTCGTCACACCGACATGGAACGTAGTCTCACAGGTACTTGGGTGACGACCGAATTACATAAAGCCCTGGACATGGGGTATACCTTAGAGCGAATTTACGAAATGTGCCATTTTAAACAAAGCAGTCAAGAGTTATTTAAAGACTACATCAATACCTTCCTCAAGATCAAACAGGAAGCTTC